GAAACAATGAAGTATTTACAATCTAAAGATATCAAAATTTCAGAAAATAAAGCTTAATCCTTTGTTGCATACAAATAATTTAGATAAGTTAAATGTTTGTATTTTTTCTACTTAAAATAACATTAGTAATAAAAAAAAAATTTATTCAAATTTTGTTTTAAATAACTGCTACAGTTTGTTCACTATCGTGGACAGCATGCATATACGTACATGCTTCCCAACGATTTACGGTCATTGCATTTGAAATCATTTCCTGCCTTGTTTGCAGTGATCATTATCATCTTCTAAATGGTAAAGCTACAACTGACATGTACATACAGATCCCCCAAAATACCTTCATTTCGTCGAATGTGATTGAATTCATTTTGCTACGATTTTGTAACCTGTACCTATTGGATTCAAATGTCAAATGTTCTAGAAATTCCTTGACAAATATAAACATTTCCAGTGGTGTTTTGGCTTGATAAGCAGTACATTTGGGTTTTAATTCACTCTTTTCGGTAGATTTTTATCTACCCAATCTCCACAATTTTTCAAACTGACATTTAAAGTAAAATGTCTAAAATGAGTTATTATGAATGAATGGTACGTAATAAGAAATTATGAATTATGGCAGTATAAGAAAAATGTAAGCAATATTATATAATGTTTACTATGAGAAACTGTACTAACTTGGAAACAGAAGTAGCACCCATTTTCCAAATAGCAATGCTTTACTTAGTGATGCTATACAGCCATCTATAATCGGCAGTTGAAAGTTCTAATAATATAGAATGAATAAACACAGGAATGGAATCTGCTAAGGCATTTACAGAAGAATAAGCAAATTTAAACTTTTGTCTACTAGAGTGGACATGATGCAACATAGGGTTAATATGTATTTGTTTACTTTATTAAACATTTCTTTCAAACATAAACAAGTTGTTTATGTTGCTTCATTTTTTGTGCCAATACTTTTTAATATTTCTTTAATTCTATATAGACAGACATAATTTCTTGTTCAGTTACAAAATTTCATTGTTGAAGTCCTGTAATTGCTATGTATAGAATTCTGACTGACTTGCCAATCGAAATTTTTTCGCTTTCAGTAACTATGAGTAGCGGTGTTTTCCGGATCTAAAACCATAACTACAGATTTTGCCACCCATTAATTGATTGATGATTAAGGAGCATTGTATTCACAAAGACAAACTTCTTTTATCTCATCTTCATTTATTACTGCTTCTCCACATTTCTTTACAAAAATCCGTTAATTAGAAAATTTCACCTTTGGTTTGCGATATCCGAAAACCTTCAGATTCGCGGCTATCATAAAATTTAGCTATCGTTCACTGTACATATTTGGCTATGTATCATGAGATTGGCGACAAAAGACAAGTTATTCCGTTAAATTTTATCTTGCGTCTATTGCGCACTGAAACAATTAAGCCTAAAATTTGTACTAGTTTAGTTATTTATTATACTTACGCCTATTCCTTGCACATGCTTAAGGCTTATCCGAGTCCTGAATAAATAAATTTCCACATATACTTAAGGCTTTCTTTGGGTCTAAATTCTTGCTACCAAGTGCCTCCATTTGTCTTCCCTTAATTCTGCTGCTTGGTGGGGGCATACAAGCTCTGGCGACGGTTCTGGGTTTATGTGAAGAACAAGTCTTAATTTAAATAACACTAAATGTAATCTTTTGGCATTTATAAGCATCATTAACAAAATTTATTTTTAGCATATGTAAAGAAATTGTTAAATTCTTAATGTCAACATTTCTTAGTGCATTGAACTTAAATCTTTAATCATCGCCAAGCGTAATATCAACATAAAAGGTTACCATACTCTTTGTTATTCAATTAATTATACAAAAAAAGTTGTTTAGACATCCCTTCATGAGTTGTCATGTGTTGATAAACATGCGGTGATGAAAGCAAAATATAATAAATAATGACTCGCTGGGTTGGGCGTAACAATGTAGCATGTTTTGGTTTGAGATGTATGCCAAGCAGATACGGAGCCAAATTATTGATCATAAATATTTATGCTAAAATGATCGTTTCTTCAATAATGAAGTATTTTATTTAGTGTAGAAGTGAAATTAAGAATCAGGACTCTTCACATGCGTGTGTGTGTGGGGGGGGATCAAATGTGCATGCGTAAAGCACATACAAAAATAAATAAATTAAAAAAGAAAAAAAAAGGTGGTGACTTTAAGTTCCAGATTTTAGGTCATTCCGGATAATGGAAGTCCAGATTTTGGACATTGTACTGTATTACACTTAATAACGATACTATTTTTTGATAAAATAAAACTGTAAGATATTCAAAAATTTGAACTAAATGTCCTTGCATCTCCTTGGAAAGTTTGTGTAACTCAGGTTTGTATGCTGTCATTTCTGATTTTAAGAACGATTCCAAGTTCTCATCAGTAAGACAACTTCTCAGTTTACTCCTGATAAGGTTTATGCTTGAAAATGATTACTCGGATGAAATGTAAACATGAATAAATATATAAGAGACATTTAATAGCAGGGTTCTTAATTAATTTCTGATCGCTGTAGAATTTCTAACAAGACGACAGAAAAACTGTGTTGAGATGTTCTCTGTCTGGCTTTTTACAGCCTTCTAAATCGGCCGTGTAAGATTCCAGCAATTTCCGGAAAGCAAAAAGAGTAGAATTATGGTTACAGCTAACATATTAGTTGATTACATTTATTCAAATTAAATATAAATTACCAAGATAAACTTTTATTCAATGTTAAATACATGTGCTCTTGTATTTTTTTACTTTTTCCAGTGTAGCTTTCTTTTAAAATGTCTCATGCTGCATTGCACGGGGAAATAAAAAATTTTAATTATAATTCTACTATAAAAAATATATAATTAAATACAAAATTCGTAACAATACTTATAATAAAGGAAAACCAACTATAACTAATGACAGGACACAAGATTCTAAATGTACCCCAAATTCTTCTCATCAGAATTTCTAAGTGATATGCATATAAACTTACAAATAAGCAAAAACATCACATTCTGAAGATAAATATATATTGTTACAGAACATCTAGCTGCGATAAGATAGCTTCCCCACAAAGCAGGTTTATTAGGGTTGACAGAAAATGGCAAGGGAAGGCAGGGTTGCCACATTTGACGACATGCCATAGACGGATGGAGAACCTTCTGGAACGATTTCTTACTGGTTTAGCCCAGAATGTTCTCGAATACAAGCCAAAAGCTATATAAACCCTGCTGGTATGCAGAGAGTCCGTCCGTGTAGAGTTAGTGAGAGTCTATCGAGTTGATAGTCTGCCAGTGAGTGCCGAGTTGGTCGTCGAGTGCATCGAAAGAGTCTCTTAGTGTATTGCGAGTTAGTGCATCGTCGAGTTTCATCTTAGAGTGTGTTGAGTTCCGGGAACGACTGAACTGAGGAGTCAGGAGCTGTACTGTAGTGTATCGTCGAGTGCATCGTGAGTTGTAGTATGGAGAGTCTCATGAGCAAATAGAGTTCCGACAACAACTGAGCAGAGTCAGGAGCTGTATTCTAGTGCTTTGCCGTGAAGCTGTCTCAAACGTTATAGCCTGATAGACTGAAGGCTGTTTTTGCCGATTGTTTCAGCGTGTGTATAGCAGTTCTTCGATGACTGTAAACGTGTTATTGAAGATGCCTTGAATAATACTGGCCAATAAAAAGTGCTTTGATACTTCATCAAGTATTGTGGCTATTCACGCCAAATCCACAAACCCCATATGAATGTAAAAGAAGAAAAACACGTAACAATATATTTAAATTTAAAATGCTCAAATAAATCAGTTTTGACCAAAAATTAACAGAGAAAACAAACTATATCCAATCTACAAATAAAAATTCCTGAACGAAATATGATTTAAGGAAGAAATTATTGATTGAAGCAGGAATTAGCTCAGTTAAATGGTACAAATTCTTGAACAGGTACAAAGTGTACATTTATTTTTCAAACATTTATTCACTAAATGTAAATGCCACCAAATGTATTTGATACGTGAATTTAAAAAATATAAAGCAATGTTGTGAAAAGGAAAATCTTTAGCTGAATGTTTGTCTGTTTTACACTTTACAACTTGCCTTTTAATCATATTCTGTTTCAAGCAACCATTTCATCATGTGTAAAGATTTTGAAATAACGCGTTTTAATAATAGACTAATAAAATAAGAAGTTCATACATTTATTAATATTGGATTATCTACAAATATTTCATACATGTGCTTATATATATATAATAATAATAAATAAAGATAAAAATATGTAAATCAAAATTAGAAGTTAAATTAGCAATAGCCCTTAATTCCCTCATTCTATTCTAAAAATCATAATAACTTTTTTGGACTCCGTCATTTCTAGATCAATTCATCTTATAGGGCTTGTATAGCACTGTGACGTAGTTAATTAGGAACCTGAGCTCAAAATTTCAACTGCAACTTTTCTAACTTAAATCAAAATCCCTTGGTGAGAATCCATATTGAGTAATCAGCTCTCTTGCAGTTAAAATGCTACTTTGCTCCCTTTGTCATGCTGCTAACTATGACAGTTAGCTAACTATGAACCTGTTATCTAAAAGGTGATAATGTATATAAAATTGTAGGGTGCATACTGCATCCATGATGATGTGTGGTGAAGAATATGTTTCGATAATTGGTTTGCATCCAGTAATAAAAATTATGTTCGATTCGGCCATGTCTGTTTATAAGTTTCTCCTTTGAGTGTCATCTTTCTTACTATGCAGTAAGGTCTCTCCAAGTTACACTGCACAGAACCATTGCCAATCTATAGAAGATTTCTCCAAGTCATTCTATTACACATACGCACACTTATATCTAATTTGCTATGAAAAAAGTAAAGTATGTAGAATTAATATCATTCAAGAGCAGTAAACTATCTAACATGAATGCACAAATTAAAAACAGGACATGTAAAAACTGAGAAAAATTTGAATGAAAATTGAAAATAAAATAAATAAAAATTTTTACTGACCTGGCCTGCGACTGTAAATCCCTTGAAAACAAAATTTATATCCTGATTTAAACTGCAAGGATCAGAAGTTCCATCAACATGTAAAGAAACACTGCTAGGCTCAAAACTCCATCCAACAGGTGGTTCAATTTTCAAAATATAATCTCCTTTATCATACAAAGGAATCAAATAGTAGCCATTATGAGGTGCACAATCAGTATGGTATTTTAAGCTGCCATGCTTTGTGTACCTGCAATTCAAGAAATTATATATGGCAAATTTTGAACACAATTTAAAAGAATTATAGAGAATAAAGCTTAAACACCAAATTAAACTCTTAAAACACAATAACTTGTCAATCATAATTGAATCATGATTAACAAGAAACTTAAATTTTATGAAAAATAACATTTTAAAAGAATTATAGAGAATAAAGCTTAAACACCAAATTAAACTCTTAAAACATAATAACTTGTCAATCATAACTTGTTAATCATAATTGAATCATGATTAACAAGAAACTTAAATTTTATGAAAAATAACATTCTTTTTAGTAACAGAACTTCTGCATGAACAGTTGCTTGTATTAAAACTTCAACTGGTAATTTTCTATGCATGTCACCTAATTTTTATTATTAAGCTGCTAAATGTGGTAACCATCAGTATAATATATTTTTTTTTCACATTTTGTTAAATTTTAAAACACATTTTTAAACATGATTGAAAAATTAGTTCCCCCCCCCGAATAACATAAAATGAGTGTTGTGGCAATATTTTAAATATTTAAGATTTAATTGAATTCTATATAGCAGACGATGGGTAAAATCCTAGGAGAGCCCACACACTTGGCAACAAACTGGGAAAGTGCAGAATCACCCACTGCTTCGTGCTTTCTCAAAATCGCCAACTTGAAAATAACAAGTCAAAGAATTGCAGAAACTCAGTATTACATATCGACCTATTTTCACTTAAAAAAACATCACAGAATTGCACAAACTTGCACACTCTCTTGACTTTATCCATGTACACGTTGATACGTGCCATATAAGTGGGCGCGCCCATGGTGTGGACTCTGTTAGGACTATTCAAACAGTTTCATTATTCTAAGAATATCATATTTTAACAGATAAAAGAATTTGTATAAATAATAATGAATGGAAGATTGATTTTTGAAAAATAACATTTTGGAAATACAATGATAGAAATATCCTTTGAAGGTAGTCATATTCCATCTATAAATGGCAAAATTGAGAAATTAACACAATTAACAGAAACAGCATATCAAAATTTGGATATCTATTTAGTAAAACCCAACAGCAATAAAAGAACTACACATAATGTATAGGATCCTCTAATAAAATACCATTTAGTGCCCAAAACTTCAGATCTGCTAAATTTAAATTATTACTTAAATACTTATTTATGAAAGTTTTTGCCATTATTTTTTACAGCTGCATATTCAACTTATACATATTTTAACAACAAACTGAATCAAGTTGTTTATAATAGCTATCAAAACTTTTCTTCTTTTTCTTTTCTTTTTTTTTAATAGATGTGGTTTTTGATAAAAGTTTGTGGTTTGTGATTTTTTTAATTACTGAACAAAGTCTCAAAGTCTGAAATTGCATCAAACTGGGGAAAGGGACCACATCTTACTCGTGTAGTTAAATAAAAAGTACATAATAACTTCATAAAATTTAAAGTTCATCATTCATGATCCGAAAAGAACAGGGAAAGACAGCTTTGAACTTTTCAAGATTTCTTGGGCATTTCTCACCGAGTTCAGTTTTTCAAGAAATTCTCTAGCCATATTCTTAATACATTACCAGTAAAACCACATCACTATATATATATATATATATATAGATATATAGAATGCTCAATTATATATTTTTTTGTACTATGCTTTTAAAATGTTTATATAATTCTGACTAATAAAAGCAACTTTTCCTCTAAACTCAATTCATAATTAATTTATTAAAAAAATGTCTATACAAGTGTAACAATGTAAAGTTTTCAAAACTTAATGTTATATAAATAAAGTTTTCGAAATGCTACAAGTTTTACTAAGAAGAATTTTTTTAATGCATTATTATTTTAATTCATGTTCCATTTTTAATCTGTTTCAGATAAAAATAAAATTTATTATCAATTTATAGTTCATGGAACACACTGTTAATAATAAAATACTACTACATAACTGGTATATTATTGTCACAAAATTATCGGTAATAATATGTTGATTATGCAGTAAACTCCTGGAAAACTGCATTACAGGAGTAAACCTTAAGCCAGATAAACAAATGTTCTAGTCATCTAAAAAGCATATAAAATAACATTCATAGAATACTTTTTGGTTGAAAATCTGAATAAAGAAGTATGTTTATAATGCAGTACATAGAAATATCAGTATTTCAAAAATTAGAAAATCAAAATCTAATGAAAAAGCTATACACACGAAGAAACTATGATTTGAAAAGCCCAAACAACTAAAGTATTCAACTTTAAGCTTAACAGTTTTCAAATTTGACAAGTAGGAACACATATTCTATTTTACTTCCTAGAAGAGCACTAGGTTTGTAGAATTCATAATGGAAATTCCACACATCTTGAAAAATAATGCATTAAAATAACAGCAAACAAGAAATTTACTGTACAAGATTTTTTAAAAAAACTACAAAAATCCACATACATGATAACTAGATTTATCTTCCTTCTCTGCTTCATTATTAGTTTCCTTTTCCCACCTCCATCATCACATAAATATGACAAATAAATTAACTTCTTTATTTATTACATGAATATTTTTTAATCAAGAGGAGAAAAAAGTGTTCTTATATAATATTATTACATACATATATTAAAAAAACTTCAATCCCTCAACCTTTACTGTGTTTTTATATCCAACTTTTCTAAGCTATGACCTTTTAGAGATCAGAACAAGTCACATTTTAAACTTATGATGGCATCCAGATAAATTCTTTTAAGCTGGATTTTAAAAGAATTTTAAACTGGATAAAAATTTCGAAAACCAAAAATTGTCATGTAATCATATCAAAATTTTGAATAGTAAATACAGTTGGGGGATACATTTGAAATTTTTGAGTCCTAGAATATTACTATGTTTAAGTATTTATATATGACATAAAATATACAAAACAGATTACAACAATAGCATTATTTAAGCATTTTCAATTTTATTCTTACTCCTCAATTTCAGTTTCATTATTCAGATTTGAGTAATGCTGATAAAATTAATAGATAAAACAAAGTAAAATATTATATTTCCACTTTTTGCCGAACACTGGGTCATTCATAATTATTTTCAATAAATGAAATTCTTAAAAACTGACAAGAATAATTACAATTTTATTTCCACTCTCGAATAATTGATATCGAAATTTGACTTTACAAATCCTCCACAACCAAATATATCATCACAAAGAACACATTTAAATAAATATATGAAAATAATTTCAAAGAGTGTAAATAAATTAAGAATCATTGCAGAAAGTACAAGTCTAATGTATACATATAGAAACAGTTAACTAAAAAGAGGAAGCTTAATTAACAGTAATAATCCACTCAACACTTTTTCGTCTGCTATTAAATCTTTCAGCCATTTCATAAAGTGGCCTTTATTGGATGAATTAGACATAAATAATTTAATTTTAATTATCATCTTATTTCCAAATTATTACTAAATTAAGTTAAACCTGACACCAAAGAAAGAAATTAATGCAAACGATTTTTTACTTAAAATTTAAGTTAGTAGATACAGACAGCCAAGTAAACTGATTTTTCGGTATTTGATTTTCTCGATATCACAATTTTCTCTCTAACTTTACATATTTCTAACCTTTTGAATCCTTGCAAATTTAACCTTCCTAAATAATTTGTCACTTGTAAATGGCAATTTTCTGAGAATACCATGTTGCTAAGCGACAGACCGGAAGTATTTCTGTTATGTAACTATTATATGGCGCGTTTGTGAGTCTCATGTTAAAAGCAAGTATTCGTCTGAGGATTTTGTTTATAATCAAATCGATTTATACTTAATTGCTGTTCTGGAGGGTAATGAATATAAGGGGGAAGTGACACTCCTCATTGAATTAAACTACATTTGGTACCATTATTTATGCAATTAATTTTGTTATGAAAAATTGTTTTACATTATTATGTATTTAGTTAAGCGTTCAATTAATGTTTACCGCCATCGTCCATTATATAAAATATTCATAAAAATATTTAAATTTTACAGTATAACTAATTTATTTTATTTTCAGTTTGTAGGGAACTGAAACATGAAACTTTTTTTAAAAAAGCAGTATATTATTATTTAAAGCGGTATATTATTATTAAGCAGCATCTTATTAGGCGTTAGAGAACTCCTGATTGAAAAAAAAAATAATAACGTATATGTCTTTGCATAGAAACCACAGAAAAAATCATGAATTAAATTCAAAATGAAGGCGTTTTCTCAGAGGTTATGTAATGACTTTTGAGATCATATTTATGAATTTGACCTAACGTTGTATCTATTACTCAGAGATTATGTATGGAATTTTGTAATATTTATAACCTTAAATTTGACGATTTTTCCGCAGCATTTTTTTGTGATTAAATGATATACTGTGGCAGTATTCTGATTATCCAGATGTCTATTTATAAGGAAATATTATTTCTTTTTTAGGACCATTTTTGTCTGTATTGGGAGCTGTATTTTTTAACAGTTAATAATTTTTAATTTTTAATTTTTTATTTTAATTAGGAGTTGTCTGGGGTTTTCATCTGCAGAGAACCTGTTGGTGCTTCGGGAAGGAACCCGTTGGCGCTGTTGCAATTTGTACTCGCCACGGGATGAGCCGAGCCGTAAACGTGATTTTTAGTGCATGTAAATTCAAATTAGCAGACAAAACAAAATATTAAGCATATGGTAGTAAAAATTCACAGATAATAAGCATGTAGACTTAAAACTAACCGGTTAAACGTGATATACGAAAATAAAGCTGTATTTTTCATAATATATTTCACAGTACAAATAACCTTCAACAGTAATCTAATTTTCTTCAGTAGCATTGTTAATAAAACTAGAACTTTATACATTTTATTATTTTTCAAGACTAATTTGAACTGTATTCCTTACAGTGGTTTGCTAATTTTGATGACCATGGGGATGCATCAAACTACTCTGTCATCTTAGATAATCAATAATATTTTTTATTTAAAATTAATCAGCTATTTATGTCACACGTGCCATCCTCGGAAAGGTTATTGTTAGAAAAGCATTATCAATATAGTATCTTGTTAAAATTTTACGCCATAAAAATTGAAGCCGTGAGCTGGCATTTATCGACGAAAACTTCTTTAATTATAACGAAAATATTTCTATCCATTCGTTGTTAAAAAATTCAGAAAAATAACGTGGAAAATCAGAAAAAATAATAATAAATCAGAGAAGAAGAATATAAATCTCCTAATGCGAACAACGACAGTGATAATTCAACAAAATGAACGCAAGAGGAATGGTTGCAACCTTCAAACAAGTGAATACGATGAATCCGATAGGTTAACAGGTTTGAACTGTTATCACCAAAGTTACGATGTTTACATTTACCGGGTTCTCTGCGGAAGTGCTTCCGTTGTCTGATTTCTGTAAGCTTGTAACCAAAGAGTAATATGTAAAAATAACTGTATACTTTTTTTAATCACAATAGTTACAGTTTTCCACCACAGAAATACTTATAAAACATGTTTCGCTAACCATACTTCATTACTACCTACTGTCTCTTGATTTGCCTGTAGGAAATTATTATTTTCTTTCTTTTGATCTCATTATATTTGCAGGTAATAGGTTCTAAGACTTAATCACAGTTTTGGGTATTTAAAATACCATTAATTAAAGTTCACTTAATTTTATATTGGAATTAAATAAATAGTTAATAGAAGCAAATTTATATTAATTTTTAAGAATTCAAGATTATTACAGTTTAGATATTCTTTACCTTATTAGCTAAAATTTAATAAATGTTGGTACTTGCGTTAATGAGATGGGTGAGTCTGTCAATTCTTGCCTAGCTGTTCTATGTTTGGATAAACGTTAGCAAGAAGCACCATAGTCATAGTGTTATAAATCACTGTTTTGTTACTAAGACTAGAATGGCAAGATTTTAAATGGGATAATTGATAATAAATTTATGTTTCATTTGTGAGAGAAAACAGTGATAGACGATTGTCATGCGTAAATTTCAAACTCTGAGATATTCAGCTATTTTATGCACAGGTAGTTTGAATTTTATTTTTTTTCCTTTTTTGAAAAGCTAAGAGGACCATAAGGGCAGGCCTTCTTCGAAAACCACAACTTTTAAAAACATTGATGTAACAGATTATTCATACAATATATAATAGTTAAGTTACACTGGTCATCAAAATTAAAGGATAATATCAGAAATAATATATAACTGATACTTAATGAAAAATTGTTAATATAAATGTTTATAAAAGCATTAGTTAACATAAATTACAATTTTTGGCAGCTGATTGTTTACAAAATATTGAAATTAAAACCAAATTTATGGAAATTGGAAAATGATAGAAGAATTCTAAATAAGTCACATCTTGTGAAGAAACATTTTCTTTAATGTGGTGTATCGCCACCTAGGACAGATATGCATACCTCTCATCTTGATTTCATAAATTTTATCAAAGTGCTGACCAAGTCTTGTGGAATTGTACATCACTCTTCTAAAAGTGCACTTTTCAGCTCCTAGAGGGTCCAGGGAAGAATTTGGTGTGCTGAAATTTGGCACCGTGAGGCATCCCACACATGCTCAGTCAGGTTAAAGTTGGGTGATTAGCTGTCCAGCAAAAACAATGCAAAGAGAAAATGTAGTACAAAACATTGTGGGAGAAAAGAAAGCAAAGAGAAAACATCATGATACAAAATATCGTCATCAAAAATAAAGCAGTTCAGTAACTTCAGAGTTTAAAAATATTATGGTAAAAAATAAAGCACCTACAAATCATTGCATAATGATAATATTGCAGACATGTGTTATATAAGTTGTAAATAATATATAAGTTGTTATAAGTTGCTTTATAAGTTGTAAATGCATGTTTGCATAATGATTTGTGAGCGCAAGAATGAAAGAGGAACATTTTTTTTTTTATATTTCATAATTTTGAATTAACTAATAAATTTTTGCTGAAAAAGGAAGAAAGAAACTTAAGTTTTTAAAAACTGAAAATGAGTAGAAAATTAAAGCATTATATAGCTCTTAATATAATTTTAAACTTGCATAATTAGCTAATAAAAGTCAGAAGTAAAGTAATTTATCCTTTTTTAATAAAGTTTTACTGATAAATTAACAAACATGAAAGAAAATAATTTGATAATTAATCAGACATTTCCTATGGATGTAATCTCATGCAGTTACTTATCCTCCTTTTCCTTAACGTTTTCAGAATATATTTTTCATGAAAAATTATTAGTAAAACTTCATATAAAAAAAGACTAATTTAGGTAAAAATATATTTACGGGTGCCTTTTGGCGATGTTTGGCAGTACATGGACACCTAGTTTGTGCAGTTCTTTGACTTGCTTTGTACTTGCCACTACACAAATCCAAAATACCGTATTTGATGGCATATAAGATGCACTTTTTTCCCTAAATTTGGTCTCAAAAAAGTTATCTGCATCTTATACGTGAAGGACACAGGTTAACTTTCAATACTGAATGCTATTTTTTAGTCCGGATAAAGGTCTAGACACACATAACCTTTTCTACATCTGCCATAATTATTTTGCGCATGCGTGAAATATCTGTCGCCAAAAAGCGCCAAAGCTTGAAGCTGATGTCGAAGTTCGAACGGGTTTGACGGTCACATTACGTCTATGGAGTGTCCAATGGGTGTAATTGTTCATGTTCATCTGAAAGGCTGGATGGACAAAGCTGGAATGAAACTGTGGTTACAGAACATATGGGCGAAGCGACCTGGTGGACTCTTAAGAAAACCCTCTCTTTTGGTTTTGGATCAGTTTAGCACCCATAGAACTGAAACCATAAAGAATAAAGTGAGAGAATTAAAAACCCAGATAGCTGCCAGATTCTGAAACTCATCCACATATTTTTGAATGATTGCAGAACCTCCTTGAAAGGTATGAACCTCCTTGAAAAGTGCGGCCATTTGTCATAATTCTTTCCCAAACCCTTAAACCGCAGATTTCATGGACAAGGGAAGGCAAGTTGTGTGTTCCTTCTTCTCTCCAGATCAAAACATGTCTAGAAGCACTGTTCAGACTATATCTGGATTTGTCAGTAAACAATACTCAAACCCAGTCATCTTGGCTGCATTTAGCATGATGATGGCACCTGTTTAAACGGGCCCTTTTGGAATCTGGAGTGAGTGGGACACAAACCATTGGTTTTCTTTCATATAATCCAATCTTGTTAAGTTTTCGTGCAGCAGTAGAACAGCTAATTCAAGTTCCTGTGGCAGTTTGAAAGTCTAAGACCAAATCTGTTGTAGTCGCTTCAGAATTTCCTCAAGCCGGCAACAACAGAAAACTGTCTTCTGATACAGTTATTGCTCTTGGTCGCCCTTGATCAGTCTGTCTATCAACTGATCCAGTGCTTGAAATGTGGCTTCAAACTGTTGATGTGACACTTTGAGGGATATTCAAATTTTGGATGACCTCCATTGATTGTACCAATTATTTGCCACTTTTGACCTTCACTTAAATGATGCCTTTGAGCCATGACTACTGAATACTGATCACTCTCAGAAACCACATTCCCTTTAAACAACACTATAGACCAGAACTCCAACATGCGTCCACTGTGCACCATATTGTCAATCACCGAATTTGCATATTTTGGTTGCTAACATATGTGCAAAAGTGCAATTTTGTGTTCAGTTATATTTAATTAACATAAATAATTGCAGAATTGGCATTGGTTGCAACATTAACTTAGTGAGCATAGTTTTTCTCATTATCCTTTAATTTT